AAAGAGAGAAGCCACAGACACTTTATGCCGTAAATCCGTCGCATACATAATTTAGCTATTTCTTAGGGATATTGTTGAATGTGATTATTGTACGTAATTAGTAAATATAGTAGTGTAGTGCAGTATGATTGGGCCAATTGTGTTAAAGGCCTATTAGGCCCATGCAACCCATGTCGCCCCTTGTAGATAGACGTGTGAACTAGGGTTGCAGTTGAGATATAGGGCAGCCGATGCATCTTGTTCTGGTTACCGAAAATAATCAGTAAGATCAGTAGTCGGAGGGTGTTCAAGCTCTCCCGTGGATTAGTCCTGGAAATTTCCAGGGATACCACGTAAATTCTGTGTCCGTTTTTGATTCTGTCTTTGTTTTCTCAACATGGTATCAGAGCTTCAGTCAATTGATTCCGATCGTCCTGCCATTCGTCTGAGTTCAACAAATTTTGCACTTTGGGAATTCCAATTCCGGGTTTTCGTGGAAGGAAAAGGGTTGCTGGGTATTCTTGATGGGACGCAGGCCAAACCTGAGGGCGCCGCCGCTACTCCTCAAGCTGTCGCTACATGGACTCAAAATGATGCACGAGTCCGGTTCTGGTTGCTTGGATCAGTGGATCCTTCCACCTGTCTCAGTCTACGTCTGTACCCAACCGCCAATCGGATGTGGCGTCATCTCTCTGTTATGTACTCCACAGTGAACGCAGCCCGCCAGTTCGAAATACAGCTAGCGTTGACTCGCTTAGAACAAGGCGAACGCACCGTCTCTGAGTACTTTAATGCAGCACAAGAGCTCTGGACTGAGCAGGATCTTCTCCATGCTGCTCTCCGTCCCCAGGCGGTTCTTACTGAAGACTCTATTGCCGAAAGGATGCAAACTCGACTTTTGAATTTTTTGATGAAGCTACGTCCGGAATTTGAATCAGTCCGAGCAACCCTACTTAATCGAGATATCCTCCAGTTTGATGGAGTGCTGGCTACGTTAATGAGAGAAGAGATCCGCCTGCGAACACAGGCGTCCATTGACTTGCGACCTGGTGAAGGGGAGTCGATGGTTGCAGCAGCTGCCGCACAAGGAGCCCTAGGCTCAAATCATGATAATTTTGCGTATGCAGCGGGACGGCCTCAATTTCAGCAAAGGGTCCCCATATCTGATCTAGAATGTCACCACTGTCGTGAAAGAGGTCATGTGCAAAAGCATTGTCGTAGAAGGAATTTTTGCGTTTATTGTAAACGCATGGGGCACATCATTCTAGATTGCCGAACCCGGGAGAGGAATGCTGCACGTGAAGGTGGTCCGCCGCCTCGAGGGAATTCTGGAAATTATCAGCAGCGCCAGGGAGGTTATGGAGATCGCACCGATCGTCGACCTGCTTATGGAGTGTATCCTGCGGATGATGGTGGTAGCTGGAGAGGATGGTCCTCTCGTGATTCTTGGCGGGCAAATGGACATTCCTCTGGGACGCAAGGGGAAGCAGCCAGCAGCAAAGGGAATAAAAATGCTACGGATGGAGTTCAAGCTGCAGGTGGTGTTACTATGGAAGCTGTGGAGCAAATAGTTAATTCGGCCATCAACGCCGCCTTTGCCACACTCAATGGAACGGGTAAAATTCATTCCCCTTGGTTAATTGACTCTGCTTGCTATAATCATATGACCTGTGACTCTCATGTTTTGGAAAAAGTGACTCCGGTAAAGAATATGGAATTAATGGTTGCAAATGGAACTAAGCTAAAGGTAAATGGTATGGGTGATGTCAAGGAGAAGGAGATTTCTTTACGTAATACCTTGCATGTGCCAGATCTTATTCCTAATTTAGTTTCTGTGGGACAACTTACTGAGGAAGGTTATATTGTGTCGTTTGCACCATCTGGATGTCTTGTACAGGATTTGAAGACGGGGAGGCCGATCGGAAGGGGGAGTAAGCGAGGCAGGTTGTTTCATCTCGAGGAACTTCATGGACAAAATGTCTCTCCAGTTGTCAGTAGTTCGTTCAATAGGTCTGTCAGTAGTCCTGTGTCATCTAGTTCTTGTTCAGCTATTTCTAGTGCTTCCAATAAGTTGTGGGAACTTTGGCATGCCCGATTGGGGCATCCCCACTCTCGTCGTCTTTCTTTGATGTTCAAGAAGTCTTTACTGGGTCAAGACAGTGTTACTATGCCTGATTCATATTCCTGTACTAGTTGTGTTGAAGCTAAAACTGCCAGTATATCTTATCCTCCTAGTACTTCTATTATTCAGGAACCTTTTCATGTGATTCATACTGACCTTTGGGGACCTGCCCCCACTGTCTCTCGCCATGGATTTCGTTATTTTGCTCTTTTCATAGATCATGCTACTCGCTATACCTGGATATATCTCCTACGTTTAAAATCAGATCTGCGAGAAGTTGCAATTGAATTCCTGAACATGGTTCAAACTCAGTTTGGCAAACCAGTAAAAATCATTCGTTCTGATCCCGGGGGAGAATTTAGTTCTTTTCCTCTTCGAGAAGTGTATCGCTCACGTGGTATTTTGAGTCAAAAATCGTGTCCTGGTATTTCTCAGCAGAATGGTCTAGTCGAGCGGAAGAATCGACATGTGGTTGAGCTGACTAGAGCATTATTGTTAGCTTCCTCTGTCCCATCTAAGTTCTGGCCTGAGGCAGTTGTCACAGCAGTTCGTCTGATCAATTATCAAATTACTCCTGTGCTTGGTAATGCGAGTCCCTTCTTTAAACTGTTTACCCGTCATCCTGACTATTCCCGTCTTCGTGTGTTTGGGTGTTTATGCTTTGTGCTTCTTCCAAAACGAGAACGTACAAAGTTGACATCCAGAACTGCGAAGTGTGCTTTTATGGGTTATAGCGATGTTCACAAAGGGTATCTATGTTTTGATCCCGTAGCTCAGCGTATTCGCATTGCAAGCACTGTCGTATTTTTTGAACACATGAGTTTTTTTGATCCTGAGTCTTCTTCCGAGTCTATATTTCCCTTGTCTAGTAATCTTCCTATGTTCCTTGATGATGATCCAACTGCTGAAGACCTTTTTCATGATATTCCCCCTGATGATATGGACTCCCCTAGTACATCCCAAGCCACTTCATCTGCGGCATCTTCAAGCCACTCGTCCAGTTCCCATGGGTCGGCCTCTAGTGGCATTTCCTCTCCACCTCCTGTACAGCAGCTTCGGCGGTCTCTTCGCTCCACCAAGGGAGTTCCACCGCCACGATTTGATGATTATATGGCCCTAGGAGTTGATACTTTAGTTGCTCCCACTAGGTACAAGGATGCTCAAGGCGATCCGCGGTGGGAGGCAGCAATGGGGAGTGAATTTGATGCACTCCATGCAAATCACACCTGGGATGTTGTTGACCGACCTGCTCCTGACACTCCTACTGTTGGCAGCCGTTGGGTTTACACGATTAAGATGAATCCGGATGGGACTGTTGAACGTTTCAGAGCTAGAGTGGTTGCTTTGGGTTATACTCAGGAGCATGGGGTGGATTATAATGAGACTTTTGCTCCTGTAGCACGTATGTCGACTGTTCGCACTCTGCTGGCTGTTGCTTCTATGAAAAATTGGTCACTGTCCCAACTTGACGTGAAGAACGCATTCCTACACGGTGACCTGGATGAGGTGATTTACATGGAAAAACCTCCAGGATACAATGTTGGAAGGCCAGGACAGGTATGCAGACTCCGTAGATCTCTGTATGGATTGAAACAGGCCCCCAGGGCTTGGTTCGAGAAATTTCAAGGCACTCTGGTTGGTCTTGGGTTCTGTCAAAGTCTCAATGATCCTTCATTGTTCATCAAGACCACTTCCCGAGGTATTGTTCTTCTCTTGCTGTATGTGGATGATATGATCATCACTGGATCTGATTTAGAAGGAATTAAACAGCTTAAAGATGGGTTAAATTCTGCTTTTCGGATCAAAGACTTGGGTCAGCTTTCTTACTTCCTGGGTTTAGAAGTCACTCGATCTGCATCTGGAATATTTCTATGTCAGCGGAAGTATATCTCAGATCTTCTAGGAGATTACAACATGGAAGACTGTGTCCCGGTAAATACGCCAATGGAGCTGAATTTGAAACTAAGCAAAGAGTCTGGTGATAAGATTAAGGACAGCTCACAGTACCGGAGTATTGTTGGGAGTTTGATATATTTATCGGCTACTCGACCAGACATCTCATATGCAGTGCAGCTGGTTAGTCAGTTTATGGCTGATCCTCGAACTGATCATTTGACAGCAGTGTATCGGATATTGCGCTACTTGCGGGGAACTCAGGAGTTAGGTCTCTTGTTTCCAGCGTCAGGGGAGGTAGCTCTACGAGCCTACTCTGATTCGGATTATGCAGGATGTGTAGATACACGACGGTCTACTACGGGATGGTGTGTTCAGTTCGGGAATTCGTTCATTTCGTGGAGGTGTAAGAAACAGGACAAGGTGTCCAAGTCTTCCACAGAGGCTGAATATCGAGCTATGTCGGATGTGACTTCGGAGTTGACTTGGTTGAGACGGTTGCTGCGTGACATGGGGGTGGAGACTACGGGTCCGATGGATCTTTTTGTTGATAATACTAGTGCTATCCGCATAGCAGAAAATCCAGTTCTACATGATCGGACCAAACACATTGAGGTTCACGTTCACTATGTGAGAGATGAAGTTCGGGATGGTACAATAGCGCTGCACTACATTCGAACAGAAGATCAAGTTGCTGACATGCTTACAAAGTCATTTTCTACTAGCCGACATCGATTTCTAACTGACAAATTGATGCTTGTTTCCCGGCATCAATTTGGGGGAGGCTGTTGAATGTGATTATTGTACGTAATTAGTAAATATAGTAGTGTAGTGCAGTATGATTGGGCCAATTGTGTTAAAGGCCTATTAGGCCCATGCAACCCATGTCGCCCCTTGTAGATAGACGTGTGAACTAGGGTTGCAGTTGAGATATAGGGCAGCCGATGCATCTTGTTCTGGTTACCGAAAATAATCAGTAAGATCAGTAGTCGGAGGGTGTTCAAGCTCTCCCGTGGATTAGTCCTGGAAATTTCCAGGGATACCACGTAAATTCTGTGTCCGTTTTTGATTCTGTCTTTGTTTTCTCAACAGATATTGTGGATAGTTGTAGCCCGGTCGGTATCCGCCTCCAGCATTGTATCCGCCAGCATTGTATCCGCTTCCCGAATTGTACCCGCCGCCGGAATTGTATCCGCCGGCAGAATTATAGCCGCCGGAGTTGTATCCGCCTCCCGAATTGTAACCGCCGCCGGAATTCCCGCTGCTAGCCGATTGGCTGGGAGTGTTGTATGAAACCTCCGTCCTGGCCGTCGGCGGCGGCATCACGACTGTCTGGCCGGTCGGAGACTTATCGCCGTTGGCTGACCCGGAGTGCCGCGACTCGCTCCCTTGGACCCCGCTCTTGCTGCCGTCATCGCCACCGTTCTCGTCGTCACCATATCCTGATTCAACAATAATTCTTTTCATCAATAATAATAATATAATAAATTAATGAAACTGCATGTGCCTGTCTAAATAAAATAAAATAAAAATAAATTTACCACTTTCTGCAGCGGCCGGCGCCGGCGAGGAGTACTCTTGTTCCTGGAGTAGTTTCCTGGCGGAGATGCAGGATGGGAATACGATGATGAGAGCAATCAACAGAAAGCTGCGAGAAGGAAAACGCATCGTCGAGGAAGTCGTTTTGGTCGCCATTTTGTTTCTCTCTAATACTATTTTGAGCTACGTGTTTCTTAGTTTTTGGGTTTCCTCTTGTGGAGCTTGCGCGAAAGAATGTGTGGAGACGAATACACTATATGGAAGTTAATTTGTGATGCTGGCAAGCTCGTGCGAGGAAAAAAAATGTATCGAATTAAATGAAATACCGTGTAATTCCCGGTATTAGGACAGGGTATAATGACAAAATAAAACATCACGTCGACGAAAGCGAAGTAATTAAGCCGGACCGGCGGCTTCCATGCATGGGACGTAATCAGTTGGGAAGACTCAATGGGAATCTCGCCGTGGGAGTCTTGACCGCTGGTTAGCAATCATCCACAGAGATCACAATTATGGATCGCACATTTTGCCTGTCAAGAAATTTCTTTGCTCATTTTGTGGCCCGTTTAATTCCCTCCCGCGGTTGACGATGATGACCCTATGCTCTGTCGGTTTCAATAATCAAAGACTAAATGCACATTTTGACTGTATCTTTCAATTTCGTGATTTTTCACAAATTTGAACATACTTTGTGGTCGTTAAAATAGAGATTTTATGATATAAATGAGAAATAGTGCGCGGTTTAGGAAGAGAGACAACAATTTAACGTGGTATCCTCGACAATGTGTCGAGACTAATCCACGAGAGAGCAGAAAGCTCTCTAGCTACTGATGTATTTCTTATTGAACTTATTCGGCAGCAGCCGATTACAACATATATATGAACCCCATTCACAATCAACTAGGGTTCTGGAAAGCAAGTTTTCCTTTCCTGGTACGTAAGACCCAGCAGCAATGGGTCTGCCCGAATGAGTGGGATTCGCGGTGTGCATGGTGTGCATGGGCTTCTCGATCGTAGACCGCTCGTTTGTTGGCCCGAACTGTCTCTGTCTAATACTCCCCCGCAAGCTGGAGCGTGAAGGTTACGAACATGCAGCTTGGAAAGTAGGAAGCGAAATCGATCAGCGCCAAGGCCTTTGGTGAAGATGTCCGCAAGTTGTAGATGGAAACTGACCTTGAGAGGAAGGATATCACCAGTTTGAACACGTTCGCGAACAAAGTAACAATCCATTTCGACGTGCTTGGTGCGTTCGTGAAAGACCGGGTTGGCCGCTATATGGAGAGCAGCCTGATTATCACAATAGAGGGGAGTTGCCCCACGGGGAGGCACACCCAGCTCAGTAAGTAACCAGCGGAGCCAAATGATCTCACTAACCGTGCTGGCCATAATACGGTATTCGGCTTCAGCAGAGGAACGTGCAACCACCCTCTGTTTCTTGGTCCGCCAAGAGATGGGAGCATTCCCTAAACAAACGAAGTAACCAGTAGTAGAGCGACGAGTGTGCTCACATCCACCCCAGTCTACATCACAATAAGCAGTAAGTGTGAGATCATTATTCGAAGGGAAGAAAAGGCCCTGACCTAGGGAAGTCTTGAGATAGCGTAGAACGCGTATAGCCGCATCCATGTGTAACTGGCTAGGCGCATTAACAAATTGACTCAAGACATTGACCGCATAGGTGATGTCTGGCTGAGTGACTTTGAGGTAGAGGAGGCGCCCAATAAGACAACGATAGGGAGAAGGATCAGCCAAGATCTTGTCACTTGTGGCCGGCCGAGTCAAATGGTGATTTTGCTCGACGGGAAAAGCACTGGGACGAGCACCCTCAACACCGGCTCCCTCTAGTATATCCAGGGTATACTTGCGTTGACAGAGAACAACGCCATCTTGTGTATGAGCAACTTCCATGCCCAGAAAATACCTCAAATCACCCAAGTCTTTGATACTGAACTTGTCATCCAAGTAACGTTTCACCTTGGCGATGAAGGGGAGGTCATTCCCGGTCAAGATGACATCATCGACATAAATGAGAGCTACGACAAAGGTGCTCCCACGTCGAAAAATAAACAACGAATGGTCCGCAGGTGAAGACCGAAAACCAAGAGAACAAAGGGCAGTGGTGAACTTGTGGTACCAATTGCGAGAGGCCTGACGAAGTCCATAGATAGACTTGTGCAGGCGGCAGACCCTAGTGTCACCTGGTGCTGCAAAACCAGGAGGTATTTTCATGTAAACCTCCTCCTCAAGGTCTCCATGCAAGAAGGCATTGTTGACGTCGAGCTGATGCAGATACCATCCACGACTAATGGCTACAGCAATAAGGCAACTAACGGTGACCAATTTTGCTACGGAAGCGAAGGTGTCATGGAAGTCGATGCCTTCGATCTGAGTGTAGCCTTTAGCCACTAGACGCGCATTGTAGCGTTCAATGGTGCCATCCGGGCGATATTTTATCTTGAACACCCATTTGGCCGCAATGGTACGTTTGCCAGGTGGAAGCTCGACAAGACTCCAAGTCCCATTTTGGTAAAGGGCCTGAATTTCCTTTTCCATTGCCTCGCGCCAGCGGGGATCAGCAAAGCTTCCTGAAAGTTCTTGGGCTCATCTGCACAAGTAACAGCAGCCAAGAAAGATTGATAAGTGGGACTGAAATTTTCATAAGAAACAAATGCAGAGAGTGGATATGTAACAGTTGATGAGCTACTTCCCTAATTTGTTGTTGTAGAGCTCTCAAGGGGAGCATAAGTGGTGTCATAAACACCTAGGTGTTTGGGTCGAACCCAAACCCGGTCGCTGCATCGAGGAACCGGTTGGGGCGGTGACTGCATGGGCTGCTCAAGGTGGTCCGAGGCAGGAGAGGGCCCTGATGCGCTCGTGGGCTGCGGCCCAGTGATGGGCGAGGAAGCAACCGCGGGCGATCCTGGCGAAGTGGGCTCAGGAGTGTCTGGGCCAGCTGTGGAACTCGAAGTTCCCAGGTCAAGCAGCAGATCTTCGTAGTCTGAATCAGGAGCTGGCGACGAGAAGACTGGTCGAGGGATCCAGTGCAGCCGACTGGAAGTCTGGGCCTGGGAGGTGAACTGATCCTCATGAAATTGGACGTCTCGTGACGTCAAAACTTTCCGCGTGCTGAGCTCGTAGCAGCGGTAACCCTTATAGCTTGAGGCGTAGCCAATAAACACACAGGCGCAGCCTCGCTCACCAAATTTATCAAGCGAGGCGTGCGTGTCCTTGGTATACACAAGACACCCAAACACGCGAAGATGAGAGTACGGGGCCGGCTTACCAAATAGGACCTCAAAAGGAGTGTGGCGAGTGGCTACCGTAGGCAATCTATTTATCAAGTATGCAGCGGTGAGTACGCATTCTCCCCAGAAACGGAGGGGAAGGGATGCTTGAAACCGCAGAGCACGAGCTGTGTCGAGGAGATGCCGATGTTTGCACTCGACCACACCGTTCTGCTGCGGTGTGTCTGTGCATGAGGTTTGTAGCAGGATCCCCTCTTTCTCATAAAAACCCTGCAAAATGTGAGTATTAAACTCATGGCCGTTATCTGCCTGGATTCTCTTAACAGTTTTGCCAAACTGCCTGCACACCAACTGAGTGAACATCATCAAATATCGTCCCACCTCAGACTTAAAACGAAGCAGATAAACCCAAACACCACGGCTATAATCATCAACTATAGTAAGAAAAAAATGTGCCCCACTAAGCGATGGAGTGATAACCACCCCAAATGTCAACATGTATCATCTCAAAACACTGATTTGTCCGAATAGTGCTGGTAAGAAAGGGCTGCGGAGTTTGTTTTGCCCTAGTACAAGAATCACAAGACTGGTTTGAAATAGAAGAAATAGCCAAAACATCCTGGAGTTGTTGAAGCTTGGTCGAGGAAGGATGCCCCAGCTGGGCATGCCACAACGTATCGGAGACTCCGCCTTGCCTAGTTGCCGCACACGATCGAACCTGGCCAACTCCAAACAACTTCAGATAATAAATTCCATCTCGTAACTCACCCTTCCCAATCAACTTCTTGGATAGTAAGTCCTGAATGACGCAAAAATTATCCAGAAAAAATAATGCAACGTGATTCTCTTTAGCAAAATGACTCACGGAGATCAAGTTACAGCGGAACTCAGGGAAGTGCAAAACACGTTTTAATTCCAAACCCGGATGCAATTCCACTGTACCCACATGAGCTACGGGAATACTAGCACCATTTGGTATTCGAACCGGCTGCCCATTTTTATGTCTTACTTTGTTTAGCAATAGTGAATCATCCATAATAATATGCTCATTACAGCCGGAATCGAGCAGCCATTCTGTCTTCATAGAGAACATACCTGCATGATGAGCCGCAGGATCAGCTGCCCCTATGTTCGAATGCCCGAAGAATTCCTTGAGTTGCTCAAGCTGAGCCCACGAGAAACCAGCAACTGGACTCTTATCATCCTTTTCTTGTTCGGCCTGCGCCGCCCGAGGTTCTCGATCTCTCCCGCGCGAGGACCCTTCACCGATGGGAGGTCGTCGAACACGTGATGGCTGATCACCATCCTTGTCTCGTGGCTCGCGGGGCGGGTACCCATTCAGTTGATAGCACACCTCTCGAGTGTGCCCAGTTTTTGGCAGTAACTGCATCGTGGTTTTTCTTTGCTCCCACGCGAATTTCCACGATTCCCTTCACTGCGCGCGGCAAAGGCAGCAGCTTTAGGGGTTGTCTTGCGGTTTTGAGAGATCAACCTCTGCTGTTCTTCATTGATCGTAATGTTAAAAGCTTCCACCAACGTGGGCGTAGGCTTCATGGCAAGCACTTGCATGTGTACTGGGGAGAAAACCTCATCCAAGCCCATTAGGAAGTCGAAAAGACGACTGCTTTCTTGCTGTTCACGGATACTTCGCGAGACATCGCACGTGCAATGCCCACACGTGCAGCTGGGAAGCGGAGAAATCGCGGCGGACTCCTACCAAAGAGATCTCAGTTTCGTGTAGAATGCTGAGACCGAATTCTTTTCTTGTTGTAGTAGGCTGATCATACGACGAAGCTCGTATGATCGCGAAGCGTTACCATGCTCAAAGCGTGATCTCAGATCATCCCAAATCGCTTTGGAGGTTTCCGCGAATCGAATACTGCTACGAATCTCCTTGTTCATAGCGGTCTTTAGCCATCCTTTAATCATGGCATCACAACGTATCCAAGCAGCCCAGTGTTCGCCTGCCGCAGGTTTAACGAGAGTCCCGTCTACGAACGCGAACTTGTTCTTTGCTATGAGTGCATCCTTCATGTCGAAAACCCACTCTCCATAGTTGGAAGACGTGAGAACGTCGCCAACCAGCAGCTGGCCTGGCCCATCTGAATTGGGAAGATGATATTCTGGCGGGAGATCGATGAGCTCGCCTTTGTTCTTGGCGTCTCCAGAACCGTCTCCTCCATCTTTGACCATCTTGACGTTGCTATGATAGGATCACAGCTCTGATACCATGAGAAATAGTGCGCGGTTTAGGAAGAGAGACAATGATTTAACGTGGTATCCTCGACAATGTGTCGAGACTAATCCACGAGAGAGGAGAAAGCTCTCTAGCTACTGATGTATTTCTTATTGAACTTGTTCGGCAGCAGCCGATTACAACATATATATGAACTCCATTCACAATCAACTAGGGTTCTGGAAAGCAAGTTTTCCTTTCCTGGTACGTAAGACCCAGCAGCAATGGGTCGGCCCGAATGAGTGGGCTTCGCGGTGTGCATGGGCTTCTCGATCGTAGACCGCTTGTTCTGTTGGCCCGAACTGTAATAATAAACGAATTGTGAAGTAATGGATACAGTTGGCTCTTTTATAAATAAATGAAGGAACGGGATTAGATGCTAACTACATAAGTATCTAATCCATGGATTGTACGCTTGAGGATTAGGTCTACCACGTTAAATTATGTATGTTTTTATACAAATTCAAGGCATTGGATGAAAGATTGGATATCTTTAAGGCTTCAAACAAAAGGCTAGAAAAACAGCCTTTGTAGCAACTTCGAGCCTTTTGTTTGAAGTCTTAAAGATATCCAATCTTTCATCCAATGCCTTTCCTTTGGAGAAAAACATACCTAATTTAACTTGGTAGAGGCCCCTAGACTCGAATCGCATCCATACTTCTCAAATTGAGCTCCAAAATAGGCTTCACAAACACGTTCCCAGACTTGGTCATTTTCAGGCAGTTTTCCAGTTTTGTCATAGCCTTTTGATCAAGTTCAAAAATGGTCTTATGGACTTCCTATCGATCTCCCAAGTACTTTAATGTGTAGAAGGACACTTCAGCTTCAAAACAACCCATTAATCTCCAATTTCCATCTAGCCAATTGTAAGATATGAATCTTCAAAGTAGACACCATGAAACTGTTTTTACACTGAAACAACATATTAGGTCGACCTAATCCTATATGAGGCCGATCGAAAAGTGCATATCACCGTAGCAAAGTCCTAAAATTGATTGTACGTTGAACTAAATAAAATTTCGTAACATTTAATTGCTAGATCCATGGATTAATGCACTTCATTAGTTTACAAAATTAATATAGTCGAGAACATGAAAATTATTGATTTATATTATTTATTGACTAATCGATATATGAATAATTTATTAATTGGTTTTTTTATAATACGTATGATAAACATTAAAAGAAATGTATAACCTTAACATCATTTAATAAATGGTGTAATAATTTTAATTGAGTACAAATATAATTTATTATATTTTGGCAAACTAAATTATTAAGGTTCACTGTATTATCTTAATCGTCCAACTGATGTATGTATGTCAGTTGCTAGATTATCCAGATAAAGATGATGAAGGTATATATTGAGGCACAAAGTTTAGAAGAAATTATGGCGGACGTTATTGAGAGTGGCATTACGGATGAAAGAGATGATGATTCAACTCATTTGTAACCGGTCACCCGAAAGGAAGTACTTAAAGCCTCATCGGCTCTTTGAAACTACTTGTTTCAATTAGGAAAAACAAAACCGAATATTTTGAGTGTAATGGCGAAAGTTCAATATGAACTCCTACTTAACTTGAACTTTAACAAGAAAAAAAAACGGTAGAATCATATTTTTCTAGATAACTTAGTTATATTGTAATGTCTTGGTGATTTTTATTTTTATAAATTTATACTTGTTAATTTATTGAATTGAAAATACATGTATTTATGTATATTGGTGAATTTTTATTTATATAAATTTATATTGTTTTATCAAATTTGACCATTTTTTTACATTTGGCTCAACTCGGAACGAAATTTATTTTATATTTATTAATTTATAGAGATGTCGCTGTAGTATGTTTTTATCACAAGCACTTGCTTTGACCTCGACCACAAGCACTTGCATTGGACGTATACCGAAAATGGAGTTCATAATTATATGTATGCAATAATTTAAATCAGTAATAATGATCAATGTCAGGAAAGCTGGCGGGCTCAATCGTCGGACGTAGACATAAAGATTGAAGGGAATTCGTCTCCACTGTCCAGACTTTGGACAGTAGCTAGCTTGCTTTGCTTTGCAGTCCACCAACGTAATTGTCACTTTGACTCAATCAGTCGAGCTTTGGGTTTTGATCAGTAGTGAACAATCGTCTGCTGATCACACATTTCTGTTAGGGCTGGCTATTTGGACTGGATGAAAAACCGGAAACCGGACCGTATAACCCGGACCGAGACCGGATCGGAACCGGATAGTAAACAATCCAATCCAATCTTTGGGCTTAGATTTGAGGTAAAAACCCGGATAAAGACCGGATAAGAGAGCTCAACACCCAAAACTTAAGGGTAATTTGCATAAACGGTCACAAACCTTTACACTTAGTACAAAACTTAACCAACTCCTCACCCTTTTAGGCCTTAGGCCACTCAAATTCCCACAATCTCAATATAAAATCAAGACCGAATTGGGACCGGACCGCGGTCAAGACCAGACCGGATCAAGACCGGATTGTATCCAATCCAATCTTCGGTCCTTATATTCTCAAAAAAACCGGATTGGACCGGATCAATTTAGGCCAATTTAACCGGACCGGACCGTATAGCCACCCCTAATTTCTGCTATCCCGGGCGCAATAATTCTGAGTGTTATCGTGTTAGCAGAGCCTGTCATTAAAGCGCGAGCTAATAGTACTATTAATAAGGCTCCAAGAGAGTTAACATACATAATTACATATACATATGCTCATTTAATTTAGTGACAAGCGTAAAAAAAATTAGTAGTTTCAGTGACGAAACTTGTAATATATCTTAATATATAGACTTTCATTTTCATAAGAGCCGGCCACGGAACCCTTTAAAGCACTGATCGAGCTACCTTATAACCATTCACGATTTCGTATTATTCAATTTGAAAGTTGATCATGTGGCTCATTGCAACATGTTACTAGTCAGAAGAAGTTTAATTAAGAATTTTATATCATTTACTAATATGTTAACATATTGTATATTTATAATATGTTCATTTGGAAAGTTAATGAGTTATTATATGTGCCTATTTATAATATTATTGTTTATTAGACACCGGTCCATCTACGATATTTGAACACCTTAACACCAGTTATGCTACTAAAATGTGAACCGCCTACAGCTATACCTAATTCATCGATACTCCTGTTCTGTTCTTCCAACATTTGTTAATAATGAAATTCAAACACAAAATTTAAAGACTTTAAAGTGTTATTATATATAATAATAATCCATCCATCCATCACTCACGTAATTTTTTCTTCACAAATATTGCCAATTCAAAAGAAATTAAAAAGGCCAGACCCTAAAATCCACACCAATCCACACTTAGCTTATAGTATTTCATGAACTTAGTGGACGACGAACTTAAGCACAAACTAACTTTATTATTACGTAGACTTGCATGTACACTAGACATGCAATGGTTAACCCTTGGGTGGAGTCTCGTAGTGAAACATGGGCTGCCCGTTGCTGCCGTATATGGTAACGTTCACATCTCCGTTACTTGACGTCCCGCCCGTAACCACCGGCTGGCCGTTACCGTTGTACATAGTCCCCTGGGCGTTCCCGTTTGTGTACGTCCCCGTAGCAGTTCCGTTCACTACGGCCGTTTGGGATCCGTCGTGGGACGTCCCTTCCACATTCGGTTTTCCGTTTTGGCCGTTAACCGTGCCGACTTCGGACTCCGGCTTGCCGTTGACTTCCACCACTTGGCCGTAAGCCGGGCCCTTGTTCTGGCTAGTGAAGTTGACGTTATTGACTGGAGTACTACCGCCACCCGCCGCCGATGGTGGAAAGAAACCCGCCGGCGTATTGCTCCCTGAGAAAATAAACACATGGAAAGATTTGAGTCAATGACAGTACTGAAAAGGAAAAGTAGAGTGTGTGGTGAGCTTTGAGCTTAATTACCAAGTGAAGGAAGGTCCAGCAGCTCTCTTGCGGAGTTGAAGTGGAAGATGGAGAGGACGATTACTGCAATGGAGAACGTGGAGATGGAAGAGGTAGCCATTTTGGAATTGTGTTTAATTAGTCTTTTTTGCTTTCTCTCTTCTATCGCTTTGTGTAGTCCTTGGCTGTTGTGAGGATATAACCCAAGGTTTGGATGTGTATTATATTGTTGATTTTTCTGTTCTATTTTTATCCTCTCTTTTTTTTTTTTTTCAGGCCACCATTTTCCGTGGCCTGTGTTATACGCGTACACTACAAGAAAAATGACTTTTGGAGGCTAAGCATATGTGTCACGATAATTGATTTATGTGCCACGAAAGCTCTATAGTGGCACATAAATATGTGCTGTCAATACTGCTGCCGCTAAATCTCTTTAGCGACAGATGTTAGCGGCAAATATTATCCGCTGCTAATATAAGAATTTGCAACAGATAGTTTTGTTGCTAATTTCACTTTTGAATGACTATTTTATTGTCTTCTTTTCTAACTTTTGCAACACAAATATTTGTCTGTAATGTTATATTTAGTGACAGATATTTCTGCTTCCCTAGTAATTTTTTTGTTGCAAATTTGCACGACTATTAATTGCCTCCAATTCGTATGTTTTATGACAAATGTATTTGTTGGTAATTTTAGTTATTAGCGGTACAAATGACTGTTTGTGATTAGGATATTATTTGTTGTGGTATATGATGAAGATATTTGTTGTACGTATTGGATTCTATTCCAATATATTAATTATGATATTATGAATAAATACCACAAATGTAAACTCTCCAATTCAGTTAACAATTAAAAATTAAATATGCTTACAATAGTTCAAAAACGTACAAACAACAATCTTAAAATCCAATGTTGATACTTAATACTGAATAAATCTACTATAGTCTTGATATTGTGCACCAGTACCATAACACCAAATTCTATGATCATCTCTATCACCAACATTTGTAAATGTGAAATCTTCAAACTGGTTCAACCTGTATTAAAGATAATATTGAAATTTGAGTTAGCATTCCATTTGAGGATGTTATAAATAAACCACAGTGGAGGAATTAATTTAGGTTATAATACTAGATGGCAAAGCAATACTCAGTACTACCACATCTCTAATAAACTAATTAATAACTTACCTATGGGGCTCAATTTTTGACAAAAAACTTCAACCAATCCGACCTCTAGTTCCTTCATGCCTAACAATTGCACGCACTTAATTAGTCGGGACTCCTTAAACTCCTCAAGAATGGGGAAGCAGTCCATAACTTCATTGTACAGAGAAATGAAGCAAAGGAAAACACTTGCTCCATTCGGCCTATTCAACACTACAAAATATGCAACACGCAATCCAAAAGAACAGGGTCAAAATTCAACACAACAAAATGTTACAAGTATGCAAACCATAAGCGGACAAGTCAACAAAACAAAAATTCTCATGGCTCACTTAGACTGTAATCTCAAATCTACAACCTGTTAATAATAACCCATAGAAACTAATTTACAGACACATCTCAACCAACAAACTCTTTACCCTGTAGAGAAAGAGAGCATGGGAACTTACCAATGATTGAAGGAGGCCACGACAGGTAATGAACATGCGACGAAAAGAGATTGGGATGAAATTTTGTTGAGCGCGGCGGGAACTTAGGGTTAGAGGACGAGCTTCACGTTGTCGGAGAGCAGCAGATCCAGTCCTTACTATCGCAATCCCCATCTCGACGCGACTACTCTTTCTCACCCGCCCTGGATCTGCTGCTGCGATTGTTATAGATTGGTTTCTTGAAGAATTCAAAGATAACAACTACCGTCGAGTAGCCGATTATGAGGGGAAATGTCGAGTAAGATTCAGCGGGCGACTCAATGGCAAGGTAGATTCTACATTGAAGAACGATGAAAACCCTAGATGAGCGCCTCCACGCTACCTTTCGATTCTATAAAGGAGTTGTATAAAACCGTTAACTCCGTCTGATCTAGGATTTATGGAAAATATTAATGATAAATAAGTAGTCGCAAGAATTTAATTATTATTATAAAAACAAGTAGTAGAGACTTATAATTTTGCCTCTAAAACTTTGGATTTAATAAATAATTATAAATTGCTGCGTGATCATGAGGAAGAAAGGACAAATAATTATTTGCCTCCAAAAGTCCATCGACCAAAATTTTAGATGACAATAATTAGAAATCTGCCTCTAAAGTTTAGAATTTATTAACAATAAATATCAGTATGTAAAAGATAATGTAATTAGAGGCAAATATTAAGATATATAGAGGCAAATTTATATGTGTTGCGTATAAGATACTTTTAGAGTCAGATAAAAAAATTTATAGAGGCAAATTTTATATTTGTTGTATAAATATATATTTAGAGGCTGATATAACATCTGCCTCCAAAATTTTGTCGCCATAGGTCAATTTTCTTGTAGTGGTAATACGTACGTAGTTGGGGTTGAATTACTTTCAGTTTCAGCTAGCTAGTCTCCCTTAATTGGTTTGTAGCTAGCTAGGTAGCCTGCAGTCCACCACCGTAATTGTGACTTGACTCGAGCTTTCCTTCCATCATCAGTTACCTTGCAACGAAGGCAGAGAATCAATCAGTCTTTGGATTTTGATTATGAGAGCATCTTCATCCCTCACCTTTAGCAATTGCTAAGATGATTATTGTCACGACTGTTTTCTGCAGATCGAGAAATAGAAGGATTCGACAAATCAAGAAAACGAAAGCGCAAACATTTATACGATAAACGATTTACGTGGTTTATTAACACAATGCGTGTTAGTTAGTCCATGGGCAGGAAAGAAGCAGTTTCATTACACTTCGAGGAGATACATATTACATATGAGGAGTATGAGAAGTTTTTATAGTACTTCTTCATGGTCTAACCCTAATCCAATCTGGTAAAGGAAAAGCAGTTACAACCAGGCCTAGTGAGATCCCTATGACTTCTAGTCGTAGCGGCTAATAGTCCGATTCAAGTAACATCAACAATAATGTTGCATTTTGGTTAGCAATTGTAAGAGATGTAAACGAATTTTCTAAATTATCAAAAATCATAAAATTAAATTTTTTTCTTGTAATGTATAGGATTTCTTTTATTTTTCAATGCTTCGTTTGTTATTTAGCAATTCAAGTATTAAAGTAGTAAGAAACTGTATGGTCCCATCTTTGGCAATTGCTTATTGATTTTAGGGATGTAAGGGTTGGAAATTATTGAATGAAGTGCTTGTTTAATAAGTGATGTGGCAGAAGGACCTTATTTTAGAAATTGTTTATTGATTGCAAGGACGGGAATAATCTAAGTAGCTCAACAAAGTAATGATAGGTACAATAGTAGGACCTCATTGGGGGTTCCGGTTGGAGCTACCATGTAAGGACGGGGTTTCACGTCATCCCCTTGCCTTGGGCTTCCAAAAAAAAATGTATAGATAATTGGACTTTAATAGAAAGAAGGACTCATTTGTTGCACCCCTAAATTAGTTGTTTGGGAGAAAAGATATTAATATTTTTTTTTTTTTGAAGTTTCTAATTGCATTGGCATTCCTAGTCTAATAGTCAACCTAACGAACGTCTTTTATTCAGTAGATTGTGTTTATATTTTCAAGGTTCTAATTGCATTGGCATTCCCAAATGTTTTCGTTAATTGGATCTATATGGGTGATGTTTAGAGTGGGATTCAATGGGGGATGCATGTTAGACCATATGTCTCCTTACCTATTTGTTATAGATATGAAATTTTTTAACTTGTTTATTAGATGAAGCTGCATAACACATTCTGTAAATGAGTCGGTTCAGCCCACCAATTTTTTAGTGGCGATCTTCTAATTTTTTTATGAGATTAATGATGAGTCGATATTTACACATGTTTTTGTCCGCCATTTTTATACTGTTTGAGGTTTGGATTTCGAGTTTTAAGCATATTTTACGCTAGGTTGTTCTTGTTTATGACATTTCATATCTTAACGCGTGAATGAAGGTTTGAGCACGAGTTTGGAGTCGATTGGGCGAAATCGGGACGAGCGAAGGAAGATCAGACAATTTGCATGGCCACGACGGGAAAGCGCACGGCCGTGCATGGTGGCCTTTGTGGCCGTGCAGGATTTACCGAGAAGCTGCACGGCCTGGCCCTGTTTTTCGCACGGCCGTGCGATATGAATTGGTGGCCATGATGATTTCTGCGAGAGGATTGCACGGCCAGGCTCTCGCATTGCACGGGTCATGCACTGGCAGTGCGCCCCCTGGTGGAATTAAATGAAACAGCGTTTTAGTGGTGCACGGGCAGACTATGAGGTTGCACGGTCGTGTGGTCTGGCCGTGCAATTGAGGACTGCTGCTTCTTAACCCAATTTTGGGTCTTTGAAGAGGGGGACGAATTTTGAGAGCAAAAACATAGTTCTAAAGAGAGAAAGTGCAAAGAACAAACCCTAGGATTGATTTTGGAGCTGAGTTTCATCAATCAAGCTTGGATTTCGTCCATGGAGTGAAGATTATCATCCCAGAGCATAGTCTTCCCATCATTATGAGTATGACTACTTTGAATTATGTTTCTCTCTCTCTCTCTCTCTCTCTCTCTCTCTCTCTCTCTCTGCAGTAAACCCTTCTCTCACTTGGGTATGAAGAACCCTAGTTCCATGTGTTAGGGATCATGTTTGTAATTGTAATGACTTTTGGTTTGAGATATTCCTTGATTATAATCGATTGAAGTGTGTTTATTGAGTCAATTGAAGTCTGATCAACTTTTCTTGATATCTGCTGCAACTTGAGATAGATAGAATCTTATTAGGTTGTTAGAACTTCTTCAATCGGTAGTAGTGAACTGATTATATGAGAGTTAATCGATTCACTGCTTTGTACTGGAATCCAATTCTAGTAGTGGATTTCTGTGTTAATTGCCTCAGCAGTCTATCCCGGTGAAGGCTAGTCGCCTGCCGGTTAGTCTGTCTGAGAGGCCTTGGTCAGCTTAAGAGATTCCAAACTACTGTCGGATCTTCCGCAGTTTAATCAACAATAAATCAACCAAAGGAAATTACAACTTGGACCTAATTAAGGAGCTAGAGGGACTCATTCCCGAGTGACTCTGCCCTTACTTTTGAAAACCGAACAATTTTTTTTTTTTTTTTGCTACTTCTTTTGTTTACAATCACTCTCACTGAACTTAGT